CGTGAATGGACCCATAGGGAATTCCATAAATTCCTCCACATAACAATGGAGTAAGCAGAAAACTAAGTATGCTACAAAGTTGGTTATAGAGATATGTGTTTAATCGTTGGCTTTCCGTCGGGGAACATTTTTTTTTCCTGAAATTAAGAAACGCAATCGGATACATTGTAATTAATGCGTATATTGGTAATATTATAGCAAAAGGTACTGTGGAAATTTGCATTGTTCTAACGTTCGGGGACCCCCACTAAGGAAACATTTTAACTTTGGCGCCTTTTGATCTTGTACTGAAAATTGATACAAATGAAGCAAGAAAAGAAAAAAACTTACCATTTTGAATTTGGTGAGATGGTCACTAACCCTGGATTAATATAAAGAAAGTTTTACTATATTTTCGGTAATGTAGCTATAGCTGTAATTAAAGCTCTGTCGACTTCAGACGCGCAACGTGTCCCCGCCAACACAGCAGTAGAGGGAAAGAGTGTCGTCAGGTATTTATATACTGCGTTCAAAGTTCCGCCTGTCCGAGCACGACAATTGGCTGAAGTGGAAGCAGGAAGAGACTCCTGAAGTTCTTATTGGTGCAAAACGCAAAATTAAATGTATACCACTGCGCCCTTGAACTTTGCCAGACGTTTAAAGCCGAGAAAAATAATCTAGGAACAAAACCCCCACAGTTCTGTTAAATTTTGTGCTAAATATTATGCTTGCACAAAACATCATGATGCAGTAATTCACTATTAGATAGGATAATTTTACACAAAATAACTTACTGGTTCAAAAACAAGTTCAGAATATACACTCACCTAAAGGATTATTAGGAACACCATACTAATACGGTGTTTGACTCCCTTTCGCCTTCAGAACTGCCTTAATTCTACGTGGCATTGATTCAACAAGGTGCTGAAAGCATTCTTTAGAAATGTTGGCCCATATTGATAGGATAGCATCTTGCAGTTGATGGAGATTTGTGGGATGCACATCCAGGGCACGAAGCTCCCGTTCCACCACATCCCAAAGATGCTCTATTGGGTTGAGATCTGGTGACTGTGGGGGCCATTTTAGTACAGTGAACTCATTGTCATGTTCAAGAAACCAATTTGAAATTATTCGAGCTTTGTGACATGGTGCATTATCCTGCTGGAAGTAGCCATCAGAGGATGGGTACATGGTGGTCATAAAGGGATGGACATGGTCAGAAACAATGCTCAGGTAGGCCGTGGCATTTAAACGATGCCCAATTGGCACTAAGGGGCCTAAAGTGTGCCAAGAAAACATCCCCCACACCATTACACCACCACCACCAGCCTGCACAGTGGTAACAAGGCATGATGGATCCCTGTTCTCATTCTGTTTACGCCAAATTCTGACTCTACCATTTGAATGTCTCAACAGAAATCGAGACTCATCAGACCAGGCAACATTTTTCCAGTCTTCAACTCTCCAATTTTGGTGAGCTCGTGCAAATTGTAGCCTCTTTTTCCTATTTGTAGTGGAGATGAGTGGTACCCGGTGGGGTCTTCTGCTGTTGTAGCCCATCAGGACTGCCGCATACTGGATGTTTTTCCCTTTGCACACCATTCTTTGTAAACCCTAGAAATGGTTGTGCGTGAAAATCCCAGTAACTGAGCAGATTGTGAAATACTCAGACCGGCCCGTCTGGCACCAACAACCATGCCATGCTCAAAATTGCTTAAATCACCTTTCTTTCCCATTCTGACATTCAGTTTGGAGTTCAGGAGATTGTCTTGACCAGGACCACACCCCTAAATGCATTATGTGATCAATTTAAAGTAGACGCATTCTTACGGACTCCGGTCATACGTACATATAACAGGCACACTTGAATTTGACCTGTATATATATGCATGAAAGGGGCTTTAATTTCGACCTGCCTCACCAAACTGCTATTCATGTAAAAGAAGTGAGCATCATTACATATTTTAACAGATAAGTCCCAACAGAGAAATTAGGAGGGAAGTGGTATTACGTTTTGTATGTTAAGTAGATATTTAATTGCTTGAAATAATTGAGCTAGCCATTAATTGAGTTTTTTGACCTGCTAGATCACAATGATTGCAAATGAAACACCAAGTAAAAATGTTACATCTGATGACTGCCCTTGCTTTCTTTGGCAATTTGTTTTATAAGGTTTCAGCATTTTCTGTGGCATCATTGTATTCCTTTATTTATTCAATTATTTTACAATACAGGGTGACATAGTTGCCCAGTGGGTGACAGTTAGGGGTTTGAATCCTGTACCTGGTGTATGTGCAGTTTGCATGTGTTCAATAAGTTGCGTGGATTTCCTTCCACTGTCTAGAAACATAAATTGCTCATAGTTTTTGAATGTGTGCATGTGTTTGTCCTCTGATGGACTGGCATTCTTCTCCTGCCAGCTCCTGTTGAATTGAAGAAACTATTTAAATATTGTTTAGGCACTTCGATAAGGTTCCACCTATACCATAAAGCATTCCAGTGAGCAATTCAAGCTAAAGTGCCAAGAAAAAACATCTTATATTCAACACTTCCGGAAAGTACAACAAATTTGCAGTGTTTACTTAACTAAAAGTAAACTAAGCTACCAAAGTAGAAAATAAGCTATGAAATAACACAGAACTGGAATGAAAAAACTACAAAACATGTGACTTTTGTTTCAGTTGCTTGGTATCTTCATTTGGAATTCCATACTGCTGTTCCAAATGGCAAAATGACATCTTATGATATGGCCTTGTAACACAACGGTCGCCCTGGAGATGCTACTTTTTAAGATTCTGGAAACAGGTGCTTAACCTGAATTACTCCCATTAAAAATGTGTTAATTATTAGCAATGATAATACTTTCAAATAGCCACCTTCAAGTTATTCAGCTCTGATTTTCAGAATATCTACGATTTGCCTGCGTCATGCATGCTTCTTCCTCTTCTTTTTAAGAGAAAGTACCTAGTATATGACCACTAGACTACCAGACCATTAGCCCCATAACCTACATGATCCTAAATGGATGGGGTGTGGTAAAATTGTGAAATATTATGTAACTCTGATTCATGAGAAATAATTAGTGAGCAAAACTGGGGAACACTGTCAACAGAAAGGCCTGTTATTCTGGTTTTGGATTACAATGTAAACTGCTTATAATCCACAATTGTTTACTGTATGTCTACTGTGACTGTCATAAAACAATGTAAATAACTGAACATCATTTTAATACATCATCAGTGCTCCTGAAAGAACAGCAGGCCTGCATGTGATCTCTGTCTAATGCTGTGAAACACCATCCCATTATGTGGGTGGTGTTTTTCTGACTGCAGCATTGTATGGGTAATATGAAAATATAATAAATATAAAAAAACAACCTGGAACTGCTGTGAATCTAATTTCAAAGCATCAGTGTTTCTTAGTTAACAAAGTATGCACTCTGTTGATGCATAATCTTTTCATTCATGCAATTTGCTCACCTGTGAGCTTCCAGCTATGGAGTGAAGTGCTTCTGAGATCTCTTGGTACACCTGGGAAGCTGAAAGCAGGCGTCACATTTTGCCATATCCTTACATGGACATACACAGTGTGCAGAATTATTAGGCAAGTGTGTATTTTATTTGCATCTTCTCTTCCGAGCATTATTTTCAGTCCAGATGAATCTCTATGAACGAGCTGTTTAAAAATAGAGCCTGTTCAGTTTTTGGTCTGAGTACTTTCTGTTTGGAGAAAAACAGGATACTTTCTTGCGCAGAATTATTAAGCAAATTATGATCACTATTAAAATGGGCCGGAAAAGGAGCACAGAGCAGAAAGAACAAAATAGTAAAGTGCCAGTCAAAGGGATGCAAAATAATTGCTAAACCTTTAAAACGTGATTGCTGTACAATCAATTGTTTTGCAGCCAACAAAGAGGACAAAAAAAGTATATAGAGAAAAAGACACAAATTAACTGCCAATGATTTGTGTCAAATTCAAGGGGAGTCTTCCCAAAACCCTTTATAATTAAATGCCACCATTTTTCAAAACTGCAATCAGAATGGAATCTCTAAGTACTATGCGCTTTGTGACTGCTAAGGTTACAAAGGCTGAAACATTTCCTCCACCCAATAAGCCACACAAGTTAAAATATCATGAATGGGCACAGACACATCTCAAGACTGATGGTACAAAGAGTTTGTGGACAAATCCGATGAGAGTTACTCTTGAAGAAGCAGGTGGATGGGTCACTTTTTGTACACCTTCTAGAGCCAACAAGGTGGTGGAGGGATGGCGTGGGCTGTAGTTAGCAGTGATGAACTTGCCTGACCTTTCAGACTGCCAGATGGTATAAAAATTAACCACAAGATGTACTGTCAATTTCTAGAAGAAACCTTCTTCAAACACTGGCACAGGAAGAAGTCACGGCTTTTCAAAAAGGTTATGATATTCATGCAGGACAATGCCCCTTTGCATGCAACAAAGTACTCCATAGAATGGCTAAGGAAGGCTTGAAAGGTGATTGAATTATGACCAGGACCCCTACATTGCCTGGCTTAACCCCCTACTGGGCCTTACTAAAGTATCAGATATACCAAGGGGGGAAGCAGTACACTTCTCAGAGCAGCATCTCATGGGCAGTCCTAGCTGCCTCAGATAATATAGGACCGATTCAATGGACAAAAGACTCATGATGGTGATTAAGAAAGGTGGCTGTACAGGACATTAAACTTGGTAAAGGGGAGTGTATAGAATGACTGATAACGTATTATTCTTTATATGGACTGAATGGTCCATATAAACTAAATGGTTAAAATTATTTCTGCAGATGGTGGAGAAAATCCACTTAGGTTCTGTTTGCCTAATAATTGTGCACACTAAGTGCTTTTCTTGTAATGTAACATTTTCTCTCTAAATACATTTATTTGGAGTAAAAGACAACTTCCAAACTCATTTTTATTTTGCTAAAAATTATCTCCAGCAATAGTACTTGCCTAATAATTCTGCACACAGGGTTCATGCACACAAAGAAGCAAGACTTGTCATTTTTTTTAGTAAAGTTTAATTTGTTATTCCAGTGCAGATGGCATACACCTTATTGGGAATCCAGAGTTGGCAGTGATGGTGAATCTGCCAGAAAGCACTCAGTGAAGGGGAATGGAAACCACTGTCAGGCGGGTTGAGGGTCAGTGTGCGGCTGCATCATTACAACTGAAGACATAAACCCATCAGTATTCATTATAACTGTGTCAGTCCCACTGTTGTATCAGCAACAATGCAACATCACCAATGCCAAAGCAGGGTGCACTCTTTATCCTCTTCACAGAGCATCCTGGGAGAACATCTTCCTCTTGGAGGTGGTAATAATTTTCCCATATTCCTTTCTAGATTGCTTTGCGTAACAGACTACAAAGGCCAAAATAAGACTATTAGATTGATTTTGAAGAAGAGCACATAAACACGGAAGTTCTAGAATCTATTAGGAATTGTGTGAAGACTAACAATGTTGTCACTGACATTATACTAAAGCCTGAAGTACCTGTATCGTTTGAAATGATGGAAGGGCAGAAATGTTATGTTAATCAATTGTGTAAGGTTCGATTCTGAAATATTTTTGGAAAGAAAAAAACATGTCTCAAAATCAATACTTAAGAGTTACATAGATATTATTTTCTTCAGAACTAACACAGACCACCACCAGTCACTGAGCCAGTAAAAGGCGACTTGTGGTCACTGAGAGACTGAAGAGTAGGCCATTCCCATAATCACAACAGTAGTAGGTGAAAACCCTGTACAACAGTAGTCACAGTGGGAGGCTTTTAGGTGGCTGTAACACCGCTGACACTAACGCCCCCCCCCCCCCCCACAATGCAATGCTGTGGTCTGTCTGCCACAAAGTCATCAGGCATGGTTGACCCTCTCCAGTGCCACATAGAAGCTCTTCTTGTCATCCAGGCAGTGCCAGCCGATAGGCCCAATCTCACAGTCTGCACAGATCAGGTATTTGACCTTGCCCACATCTTTAGTGAATCCCACATTCTCAAAGGTGTACATGTCATCTACCAGCCAGTGCGCAGTCAGCGTTTCCCCATCCACACTGCCTTCCGTCAGGGCGATACTCTCTGACTCCGTCTTCTTCCGCATCGATGGTAGAAACAGCTGGGGAAGAAAAGTAGAAGATAATAATGTGAATATATATCCATATTCATGTCAGGAATATTACTTTAAAAGTATTTCACTAAAAAATTTAAATAACAGAATTGCTAGTAATCCATATATCTAAGGTACACTATCAGCATAATATCTTAAATTTTAGTCTCCAAATTACAAATGAGGGGGGGGAAATCATTTTGTACTTTCTGTGAATATAACTTTTGATATCTACTTTGAAACCCTACACATTTGTTTAACTGGTACAAGAATCATGTGACAGCACCGTAAAATTTCACCATAAGCCCAAATTAAATAATTCAATAAAGAAAAATATCACAATAATGAATATGCCATGGGGAGGTGTGACAGACAGGACATTCTGGAGAAATGCAGTATGTATAATCGTCAGGAACCTAAATCTACTTTACAGTACCTAATGATAATAATAATAATAATAATAACAACAATAATAATAATAAAGAAAAATGCTCGCCTATTTAATGCTTAACCCTTGGAAGGTTTCCAGTTGAGAGAGAGGCAGCATTATACACACATTATTACATCACCACAAAACAGAAGTGTGTGACTGGGGATAACCCAGTTGTAGCAAATAAATAATTGGTTGATGCAGCAAATAAATAATTGGTCGATACGCACCTCCTTTTCAGCAAACAGCGCCGTACCCGGACACAAGACTTTAGAACCACACCACTGGCAAAGAACTGACTTCGTGTTTTTCCCATCTTCAGACACAAGCTGGGATCGGTCTGGACAAATCTCAGTAGGAGAAACTTGTTCAATTCCGTCCATACCTGCGTGTGTTATGATTTCAAGTGCGAATAAACACTGGTTTCAACCAAATTTGACTATCTACACCGAAACAACAGGCAGCTGTTTTCTCGAGCTGTATAGAGTCTGTGCCACAGCTGAATGAAGAAAACTCACAAAAGTTAACTGCTAGCTTACAAAGCAAACTTGCTATACCAGAGAGATTATATCAAAAACACAAACACCACGTGGCAGCAAATTCAGCTTATAATCATCCACAACTAGGGCTTTTCAATGGACGGAACTGTACAGTCTGAAGAGTCCTCCGCCGAGAAACAAACCACCCCGATTATTGGTTCCGTAAAATATGAGGCTTAATACCAGCATTACACAGCATTAATTTACTATATAGTATTTTATTACATATTCAGTTGTTAGTATATTATTTGTCATACAACCTACATACTATAAGTCGATCCCATTATTCGTAAAAGTTGGTTTTGTTTATAAAAGAGGGTAATTTCTGAATGAAACTGTGGCTATGATAAGATGGAAGATTATTGCCGTATGTCGTTTAAGATTTATTTATTTATTTGTTTGTTTGTTTTAACTTGTCGTGCCTCCATGTAGACCAGAAAATCATTCTGATACACGGCAAACTGCATTTTGTTTTTCTGGGACAATTATTGTCCATTGTGCAAGGCAGCAGCAAACGTAAACATACTGTTTTTGCCAAACGACAACATCGAAGTTGGGATCCAACAAAACCTATGCTCCTCTAGGATGTGCTTTGCGGCATTTCCTGTCACGTGGCTGGATCGTCGCCGTGATTACCATTGAGCTGCCGAAAGCATGCGTGAGAGAGCGGCTCCTGCACATTCTCCATAGAGAAAGGCTTTGTTGTTGTATATGGGCTTACACAGGCGGACTCCATAGCATAGGTTGTCGGCCCCTGGATCTCCACAATGGCCTGGTCCTTCAATGGCCAAACTGCCCACCGCTCAGCGGGGGCACTAGTTCCAGGATAATTATTCGTCACTCCGGTGGCTATTGATGCAAGAACGAGCAACACATTCAAACGATAAATCACCCTGGACAAAAAATAAACAAAACAATATTTTTTAAAAATAAAGTTCCTGAGTAGCATCAATGAGCTAAAAACTGCCGTAATGTGTTGCTGTGCCGCAGTACAAATGGATTGACAGTCCATGACTCCATGCGACCCCGAGTCCTTCCCCGGACTCTGAACAGGATAATAGGTTAGAAAATGGACGAATGGGAAATTAATTTAAATTAACTTAATTGTAAAAGCTTCTTTTAAAGAATTATGCTGCTGCTAATTGTGGTGCGAAACTCATTCATAAGCATTAAACCTATGTGTAATAAAAAAGTCTTTTCCCCATCTGTCTACTATGTGACTTGAAAATGTTGCATCAATAAAAATCTTTTTAAACCCACAGTCTTATACTGCTGAGTCACCTATATTGCGTTTCTATCCCCAGTGAAAAGATGATACACAGCACCTTTGTTTGTTATTGTTCTGTGGACCTTGTGTTAACCCTGGCTATTGTTTACAGATGTATGCGACTGCTGAGTAGCCGCATTGCTGTCTGGTTAATATATTAGACTTATCTCATGCGTAGTTACGTGCAAGATGGTAAAGGAGACTATACATGAAAATCTTTAGTTACAATTTTAGTTGATGTTCATTATATTTTAAATATATTAAGCATATTTAATAATTTGTTTCTGTTATATTCTAGCAGATATTTGCATGATCCTTATTTTTATTGTCATAGTGTATACGTGTAATCCATTTTAACCATCTGTTTGTATATAGTCTAATTGGATCTAGCCTTTCTGAAGTGGAATTCTCAAAGTCATGCTAAATCATGTGTATACCGTATTAACTGTAAACTGGCGGTATATATATATATCAATAACACTTAAAATATTATTTTTTTGCTACAGTTTGGTCGTAAAAAACAAAGGAATGTCAAATATTTTGGATTTCCGCATGCAATACGTTGTGAAATGGTAAGTCCTCAGAACAAATAATAATAATAATAATAATAAAAAAATTACTGTTTAACATGCCGTACGCCCATATCCAATATTGAAATATTTAAGATAAAAACTCAGGAAAATATACTATAGTAAGTGTTGTATGGAGCAGGGTAAAAGGTAAGGATGCCGTTAATTTACATACAGCACATACGCAGTTGTTTATTAAAATAAATGTAAATGAATGTACTTGCGCCCTCTAGTGCCCTGATAAAGACAAGGCTATGATCATTCCAATATGAACAGTTTGAACTACAAGCTGCCTACTGTTTTGATAGTCCCTGCCCACAAACGCTTGACTATAGGAAACAGTTTTTCGCTTTCGAAATTTATAACATTCATGTTTTGAAGCAATAGATTGGCATAGCTCTTCTTGCACGTGTTTTTAATTTTTGCAACGTTAATACATTTGAGATATATGTGTAGGAAATTAGAAAAAGTTATATACGTCACTTGTTAATTTATCAAGACTGAAACTGATGCAATTTTACACTACAGCAAAAATTAGGGGCAAAATCAGTCTAAGGGCATATACTATGATTGCAGGCTCTACTGGAAATTGCTGGTGGTTTTGTACTGGTGAACTAGTCTACTTTTCTTAGTGTGCCATCACATTTTGCCTTAGAGGTTTATATAGAAGCATCTTCAAAATGCAAACAAGATGATCAGTTTGATTCAATGGAAGCCATGGTGAGGCTGAATGACACAGTGATAATCCTCCAGTTGGAACACCACATACATCTGGGACTCCTATAAAAATGATCAACAAAGAGCAGGAGAATGACCTGGGCACTTACAAGGCTGCAACGTGAGAACAGGCTAGAAGTATTAAATTCCTTTGACTTCAATAAAAATTAACAGAGTAGACAATAACTTGAAAGGAATAGAGTTAAGAAAAGAAACAAAGGACCGTTGAAGACAGCAGTTTAAGCAAGAATTCAAGAACTCACTGTCAAAGTTAAAGGCTGGCTTTAAGAACTTTAAAACTTTTAAAACACTTTGGAATTTGGTGGTTTCCTAATAGGGTGTGCAAACTGATATAACCAAACAAGTAAGATAGTTTTAATGGTCTATTGTTCTTTGCAAGTCTTACGTAGACGTGGGTTAGAAACTGTATAACCACCTCTACCTATATTCAAGAACTCATTTCAAAACATTTCACAAAGTCTGCTGGTTCTAGTAAAAATGAGTACTTGCTGAATGTGACTCTAAATAAGAAAATGAGGTTTTAGCATAGTTTATTGTAACATTTTTCATTAAGATAAACAAAGCTTCTTGATAAATGCAAGAGGACACTGCAAATATAATTTAGTAACTGCATGGATATTTAGTGCTTCCGGCCCATCTGTAATCATAACTTGTAAAACTATTGCAAATGGCAATAAACAGAATTATTTGCTGCTTTGAAATAGGAATTATAAACAAAAATACATATCCAGTGATCCAGTTCAAAAATGACCTCATTTTTATACTCAATCCCAGATTCTACCCTTATCTTCCACTTTTTAATCATATTAAAACTAACCTTTTTAACATCAACTGTCTTTTTTTAATAGCCTAAGGCACAGGAATACTAAGGGACAAAATGTATCTGTGTGTAGCACTTCATATTAGACCTTACCAGATATTAGCTGCATTGTGCATTACTTTGTTATAGTTAATATCAATAAGTGAGTATTTCAAAATTAGTACCGAAATAGGCTGAGGACGGCACAGTACCAAAATGATTAGGGCATGATGGCTCTGACCAGGATAACCTGTAGGAATATGGATAATAATGAGGATCTTCACCAAGTATTATTAAATATTGTGTGTGCATTGGGAAAATATGGGAATGATAATTTCAGTGACACTGTCCCCCAAAGGCAAATACAGATACCTGTTCAATTCCACAGACATCGGATTTTACACGAAACCAAGGAAAAGGCGCCTTGTTGGAAACTTATTATACCCTGTGTGAAATTCTCTCTGTGGATTATGACTTTGGGAACACACTGATTTACACCTCGGACATTTCTCATGTTTTCTCATTCATTATTTCCCCCCTGTAAACTTCATTAATAAGTAACGTGAAGAGTTTTGCATAAGCGCTTATAAAGAAGGTCTTGTTTCCACTGTGGCACATTCCCCTGCATTGTGGTAATTTAGCCAGGCTAAATCTCTTTTTAGATAGCCCTTTCTCCTCCCTTCTAACATTACTTTTATTTTTCAAAATCGTTCAAAACCCAGCTAATCCCTTTTCCAAATAAGCTATGTAGGGGCTTCCTCACATCATACAACCTGGATTCCTTCTACTGCTAAGCAGAGGTGTAAAGTTAAGGTTTAGAAAGTACAAATATTTACAAAGATTCACATTCACAGTGAACTCAACTGGTTGGTTGAAACAAAATCTTGGTCTGGATTTGTACTTTCTGAACCTGAACTTCCCATCTCTGCTATGGAGTCTACAGGGAGTTTACAGGTGCCTTGTTTACTCTAAATACCCCAGTTAGACACCTCGACCCACCCATTAGCAGAGCTAAATTTGGCTTTCATTTTGTTTGTGGGAACTCCACTCAATTAAAATCAAAATAATTAAACCGTTAATTTTACATGCCCCCAGAGAACTAACACAACCTCTTTGATATGATTTACCATACCCAAGTGCTTCTTTCACAACCTTTGAATCCCTGACCTTTAATCTGAAACATCACATCAAGTGCAATTACAATTAATTATAATTACAGCTCTGACCCATCTACACACAAACTGTGAGGTTATGACCACCAAGAGATCGTCAGTTTCACGCCCCAGAAATGGATCGACAGACCATGGCTGCTAAGTCTAGCTACTGTTGTAATTGTGGTCTGTATTTTATTAGTTATCTGTCTATTATTTGTAGAAGCAAGATTATAAAGGGTTTGAAAAGTACACTTAACACCAGATGGTACAGGAGTAATGGAAGATGACAACATAAATGAGCTTGTACCATTAACAAATACACCTTAGTGACTGGATATGATGCAACAAGAATTGAATGCTTAGAATGTGCATGACATTTTAATGAAGCGGCAAACTGCAGACTGTAAGGCATGCAATGGGCTGCGCTGAAAATATTATACCTGCCAGCTAAACATCTCCTCTAATTCCAAAAGTCAGAAAACTAGGGAAATTATGAGTCATGGGATCCAGAGTGTGGACCGAGAGCAAAACCTGAGGTCTAAGCCTAAGTGGTTTGCCTTGTAAAGTGTCCCCCACTACCACCAATGACATTGTTTCAGGATAGTGTTACATCCCTTCTGCTGTGGGGCTTATGCCAGGGGTGGCCAATCTTATCCAGAAAGGGCCGTTGTGTATGCAGGTCTTTGCTGCAACTCCCTAATTAGATTACTAATTAGAGGACTGATTGGCTGAAGAGTCCTCACACCTGGGTTTGATCAGCTGACTTAAAGGTTATCCCAAAAACCCACATTCACATTGGCCCTTTGCGGATAAGACTGGCCACCCCTAGCTAATGCTAAGCTCACTGGCCTTATTTCAAGTCAGCAGAGGTCCCCAGTGAGCTATAACTGCAAAACTATGCTAAATTGAAAGGAAGAGGCATAACCAGTGCTGCAATAGGTACTGCCTGTCACTTGTGTGAAAAGACCGACATGACAGAATGCAGGGGCAGGCGGAGCAGCAGCGTCTCGGTGTCGACCTGGTGATCATGTGGTTCCACTGGCACCTTGGGGTGGTCTGAGAGCCGTGATGGACAGGCACAGGTGTGCGTGGAGAGCAGGAGTGAGGGGGTTTGGAGGAGGGCTGCATTATTAGAGCAAGGTGTCATCAGTACAGCCCCCCTCCAGCCCGTAGCGGAATTCCTGCAGATTGGACACGCCGTAGAAGTGGATGAAGGCAGCCGCTACCACGAGCACGTGGAAGATCTGGTGCGACTGGAACTGGAGGGGTTAAAGTAGATAACGGAAAAAAGTGATTTGCGTTTATACATCTACACACACAATCACGGTCAGGATGGTATTGTGAATTCAGGCTCCTTACTAAAAAAAACCTGAAATACCAAAATATTGAGATTCATTCACCATCCAGCACTGGCTTCTCAAATCAGAAGTTGATTACAGTCATGCCTGCAAGGACCCACGGTGCACCGGGGGAGCTACAACTGCTGCAGCATAGGAGAACGCAGAGCTGAGCTTACCCAGATGTCACACTTTCCTGGGAAATAGCGCTCTGGTATCCGTGCGGCATACAGGCCAGCGCCCGTGATGTAGAGGGCACCCATCAAGTAGAACCAGCCCATCTGGCCAACCGTAGTGGCCTTCACGAAGCCCTCCGCAACGGTGAAGTGCATTGTGGGTACGATGCCGCTCAAGCCTAAGCCCATGAACACGCCTGCAAGAGTCAAAGAGGCAGAAAGCATTTGGTAATTAGCCACTTCCCTGGGGTGTGTGTGACTTCAGCATCATTGTAATCTTCCATCATCATCATCATCATTATGCTCATAGTGTTGTGACACCAACAACTTGTTTATCTTTCAAATTCACCTCCACAATGGGCCATCCATTTTCTGAAACTGCTTGTCCTATTCAAGGTCATGGGGGGTACGGAGTCTACCCCAGAGGTTACGGGCGCAAGGCGGGGAACAACCAGGCATGGGGCACCGACCCATTGCAGGGCATATTCACACACCGTCCACTCACATATGCACTCCTACGGACAGTTTGGCAACTCCAATTAGCCTCAGCATGTTTTTGGACTGTGGGGGGAATCCGGAGCACCCAGAGGAAACCCCACGATGACACGGGGAGAACATGCCAACTCCACACACATGGAATCCCTGTGGAGGCTCCAACCCAGGTCCCAGAGGTGTGAGGTGACAGTACTAACCACCATCATGAATCAAATCCATCTATCCATCCATCCATTTTCTGTAACCACTTACCCTATGCAGGGGGTATCCTGGAGGCTACGGGCTCAAGGCAGGGCTCACACTGTGGCCAGGGCTCCAACCCATCACAGGGCACACTCACACACCATTCACTCACACACCATTCAGTCACACACCATTCACTCACACACCATTCACTCATACCTGCATACCTCTGGGCAATTTGGCAACTCCAATTAACCTCAGCACGTTTTTCGACTGCAGGGGGAAACTGGAGTTATTACAAGAATGCTAATATTTACTGGATTGCTTCCTAGAATGTATGGGTGAGCCATGCTACTTTGTGCTCCCCCCCGGCCTCCCCGCGACCCCCCCTGACTGCAATGTGTCCCCACTGCCAGACCAAGGGCAGCTGCACAGTGACAACACACCTGCTCTGGTAGGGCGGTGGCGGGGCGTGGAAAAGCGGTCCCACTGGGCCACGATGATAGCGGCAATGCCCAGCACGCACACAATGGAGAGGTAGATGAGACGGGGCTGCGGGGAGCAGTAGAAAGAATAGTAGAGCCAGGGCACAAAGGAGCCCATGATGAGGAGTGCGATTCCCGAGTAGTCCAGCCTGGGAAAACAGAGGGCCAGTAACATTACCAAAGAAATGTAACAGCATAATGTAAATAAGGTCCACCTCTGTCATCCATCCATCCACCCATCTCTCAGGGTTCTCACTCCTCCTGGAAAATAGTCAACCAATTTCCCAGTCATGGAAAACACATGAAAACTGAGTGAAAAAGTAACATATCCTAGAAAATCTACCAGAAAATACAAATGAATAATATTGCCATATGAAGTTTTGGCAATACCATTTGTTTGCTGAAATTTCCCAGAAAAATGGTTAACAATTTTCCAGGTGTTTCAGGATGAGTGGGAATCATCTCTATCCGCTAACCACTCATCCTTGTCAGGGTTGCAAAGTATCCTGGAGCCTATCCCAGAATGCATAGGGGAACACTCTGGACTCTGATTGGTACTCCAGTCCATCACTGGGCGCATACACGCACACGCAACCATACACTACGGGCAATTTAGAATTGCTGGTTGCCTAACTGCATGTCTTTGGTATGTGGGAGGGAAGTGGAGTGCAAAGAGGAAACAACCCAACCCTGGTGAGTCACTGTGCCGTTCCTTATAAGCATGTGGAAAATCCCATTTAAATGTAGTACAGAACAAAAACCTTATACACAGATAATACTTATACACTTAATAACCCTCAATCACTAGTAATGCTCTGTGATTCCACATTGTGGGAGTGATGGTGAGATGGGAACAAAATGTGCATTAGGTTCCATGGCAAATGAAAACGAACAGTATTGCAGAGCAGATCACCGTTATGTGTGAATCCCGAACCACAAACATTATGCATTTTATCGCTGGCTTCAGGGAAATTATTCACACTCATGTGCTGTTTAATCCTCACATTTTATAGCATGAGTATGTTATTGTCATTGAATTGTTTGTGGGTATCGTAAGGAATGTGCTCAGATTGCAGACAAACAAACTTAAGGCTGAGGTATTCACTCATTTATTCAAGGTGAACAGCTTAAAGAGGGGACTGGAAAGGTGTTGGTGCTGGTGGGGACTCACTTGGAGAAGGTGCGGGACACTTTCTCGGAGTGGCAGTACACGGTGTGGAAGAGCCAGGAGAAGCTGAGACAGAGCACAGCCCCCAGGAAAAACATGCCGAATACCACCTTCTCCTGCAGGGGGGCCAAGAAGTACATGCTAGGACGTAGCATGGTGAGTGTGCCCAGGCACAGGAACAGGATGAGCCCTGTGGAGACAGTGCCAGACACACATGTCACCCCCAGTGGTCCCACTAAATGCCTCCAAGGATTAAGGTATGCAGTCATCCAGGCTTTCCACTGATGACTTATGTGGCAGGTTTCTAGAGGCGCTTTCCCACCGCAGAGACTTTTTTCCAGGAACCAGAACCTTTTCTAGGAACCATCAACCACCAAGAGAAGGTACCTTCTGCTGAACTGGGAACTACTGAGGCTTACACTGAAAAACTTCGCTGATTGCAGCGGTAACATGGAACTTACACAGAAGTGCAGGGAAAAAAACTAAGAAGTAGTGGAGCAAAAGTGTAGCAGATGGAATCATTTTTGTATGTTGGTTACAGTAAATGCATTACTGAATACATTTTTTGCTTGCGTCTCCATATTTCTGTGTTTGAAAATTATTCTAATATCGCTAGTGTCAGTCGTGAAACTTGCCATTGATTATTAGCAGAATAACATGAAATCATTTTTATTCTGTTGAAATCAAGTGATTGATCTGCTGGCCAGATTTAATAATAAATTATAAACATGTTGCAGGCCATATAAATGAAACAAATGAAATGTGTCCTGTTTTGAACCAGTACAGGACAGGATTTGTTTTGACCGTGCAATCGATCTCTCCAATAGCTTACAAATGACTAACAAAATGACTTGTTCATTCCCCATCGTTTTGGGGTGGTGGTGCAGTTTCATGTGAAATTACCTGTGAAGTTTAACCTAGGAAAGCGACACGAGGAAGTGGCCAGGAGCTATAAATGTTCGTGGAACTTCCGTGAGAAAGCGCCTCAAGATGTATCCCTACTGTCAGAACCAAGATCAGCCAACTACAGTATTCCAAATAAAAAAAAAATAAAATAAAAAAAACATAATTCAATGAAATATTGGAGGGGTACTGCGGAAAAAAGCCATTTTTAGTTTTAGATCAATTTAAAATGTGTTTTGTCTAGGACAAATAAAATGTAGGTGCTGACAATGGAACACCTATGAATTTGACTGGAACAGGTGTGTGTCCGCATGTGTGTGAGGGTGACATTCCTACCACCATACCACGATCACCCCGCTCACCCAGCAGGTGTGTCCAGATGTTTCCCGTTTCTGTGTGTATTCTGAAGATGCTGCCAAAGCAGGCGCGGAAGGAGGGCATGGGCGGCCGATGGCCGTGCAGCAGGTAGTCATTATCCTTCAGCCACTCCGGAAGCACATGGTATGGGATGACCCGCCAGCGCCCCTCCCAGACCTGTCGCACAGGAAGGGCAGCATTATACACAAAGGAACTGGGCTGACCTGCTGTTCAGAGTCCCAGGAGAGTCAATAGTAGGTTATGCTGGATAAAAGCCTTTGACCAAACAAATAGGTAACATACAGACCTGTGCCATTATGAAGAGAATTTTTTTTATTGTCATTGTATATGTACAATAAAACTCCGTTCGTACCTTGTACACAAACTCCTCCATCTTCTCCATAGCATGGTGAGCCTGCAGAGGCAGGGTCATCACCCGCGCCCCTTCGTCCTCCTCCTCCTCCTCATCGAGAACCATGGGCCCCTGTGGGCACACAGCTTACTGAGGAACTCATATACTACATTGGACTTTGACAGACAGCAGTGTAGGATATTTTCCTGTATACTTACTACGCGACTGCTCACGATTTGTTTACATACTAGGGACACTGTCAAAGTCATAGTGGGTTACAGGTGGTGCCATGTTGGATCCTACAACAACCTCTCCTTGATTATCTGTGATCAGGGGCCTAGCTGGAAATTCTGGGGCCCCTGGGGCCACTTCAGGTGGCACTTTCAAACTGAGCGAGGGTCCAGGGGGTCCCCTCGGTAATTTTTGCTGAACGGCTCCTGAATAGAGTGCAGGTTTTGGGGCCCCTACAAAATGTTGGGCCCCGAATCTGCCGAAGCATCCACGCCCCTCCGGTGCCCCTCTCTGTGACTGAAGTCATAATTTCGATTGCTAATCATTTCCTTTTGTGTTTCAGGAGTAACAAATGAGATTGCTCCCTCTTGATCTGGACAGTCCTCTTTTTGAATTTCCAAACTCGGCCCAAACTCACCGCTGAGGCGACCCGTTTTGGAGCTGCAGGTTGCCCTGGTCCCTCCAGCAGGGGCCCCAGCTCAGTCAGTTCCAAATCATCCTGGATGCAGCGCTCCTTTGATATAGGGCAATCCACATTGCTGGCCGACCCGTTGCGGACAGACATGGAGAACGAACACCCCACCGCCTTGTCACACTCCAGGCCTGGCACCGAGGAAGGTGCACTCTCCACTATGGGCACACACAAGAGCACAGTAACCTGACAATAAGCTCACAGTCCCAGGTGAGCACATTACCTGCAGGAACACCACCATGCTGTAAACAACATACCTTGAGCATGCCCCAGTTTCCAAAAGGAAAATTAATACATATAAATAACAATTTCTCAAGAACAAGCCTTCATATTCTTCCAAAATTAACACACTTGAGTCAATCTCAGATAACACATATCCACATTCACAGACGATAATTACTCGAAAGAAACAACTCATTATAGTTAATCATGTGTGGAATGCTTCATTCTTCATGACGAACATTTTTATATTCAAGCAATGGTATTAACATTTTCTTCGGGAAGAAACAGGGGACACCTACAGTAATTTATTCTAGGACTTTTCTCACAGAGATGTCAAACGATTCTACGTTTCAGCCAATTACTCCAGCATAACCCTCAACAAAATGTTTAGAATTGTATTACGCCAATATAACACCGTTATTTGTTTGATTAACATATATTGAATCTACGACTTTTGCGATTAGTAGTTAAATCGCCAGCTATAACTAGCTTCCATTAAAGATGAATAACCGCGGCACGCGCGCCTAAGCCACATTACACAGTGCTGGTTACAATTAGCAATTACAGTACCTCTATGCTTCCCCGAACTAACCTCTCCGCCCTTACTAACTTTAACTAATGCGCGAGGTCACTTGGCAGCTGAGATCAGCTTATATTTAGCAAAACCTTTGTTTTAATCGCGGTCACAATTCGGCAGATCGGTTTGCAACTTAAGAACAACAGACCGATCACTCTGGCTTTGGGGTTACAAACGCCGTATGCATTCACAACAAACCCCGGCAACAATGCCCGCCCACATCCAAAAATCTCACTCTGGGCGTCTGAAATTCGATTAAACTCTACCTGTGTGTATTCGTCCGAGTTATCACCCAGCACCGGTTAACGGTCAGCAAGTCCCCGACTCCGGCAGGCAACAAAAACAGGTCTGCGTGCGGAGCGAATGTAATGTACTTTCATATGGCTTTACGCAGTCTCATCACTCGTGGCTCAGTAGCTCCCCCTGCTGGATGCGGGGGAGCGCAGCGTAATACAGCGGGTTGCTTGTGAGGTGCCTGGCGCCCCCGGATAATTCTCGCGAAACAAAAGCAGCAGAATCACTTGCGAGTTCATACTAAGACTAAGCTATGTCGACGCAGAGGCTTCAGATATATCTATTATGCAAAAATATTTAAAGATCGTTTTTAAGTGAAGCAATGGAAGGATTATGAGAATAGTAATATGGCACAACACTGCACATACGATTATAGATTTAATTTGAAAAGCAGAAACAAATGATGTAGTGGCGATATCTTTAGACTGCGTTTAACTCCAATTTATAGAGCCGTAAGAGCTCTTTTATCGATTAACTTCGAGGCTACTGAAATTCAATAATGGTAAATTTTATAATACGTTGACATGTCAAAGATGCACAACACACTTTATCGCACACAGAAATAAGCAGGGCTCCAGCGCATAAAAATAGACCCAGGGCACATTACGTTTCTCCTGCTAAATTTTATATGGTAACTGCATTCCGGAAACTGTATGACCCTTGATGAATAATTGGACACGTGCAGATCAATGGCTCCAGCCTTGGAGAATGCCAGTAGTTTCATCCCCAGTGCTTTGCAATGATGCGTTTCATTTCTACTTTAGAGGAGAGTATTTCTGTCTCCATGGAAACTGTCATTACTCTCCATGATTCTTTCATCCTCATACTTCAAGCCAGAAAACAGTAATACAAGCTCTGTGAATCCAAAAATAAACTCATCACCACCTTCTCCCTATGTACCCTCTTGCACTGCTCATTGTTTTCTTACACGTTTAATAAAATGACAACTTTAAAAGTAGCAAGTTTAATGATGAATATTCTGCAATACATTTTGGAACTTGAAGGTTTGAAAAACCAAGACATACAAAGATATTCGTGTAGTCTTCACACCCCAGAAGTCCCACAGAGTCACAGTTGTCATCTGATTGGATGTCAGCATATGGTCATACGGAAAAATCACTGGGCAGTTTCAGGTGCAGATAATTCAGAGGCGGGGCCAATTTTCTCACTGCATCTCACATTAACAAAAGCAAACTTTCAACCGAAAGTGGGAAAACCGAACAAAGTCTGCAGCCCTCCTACAGGGTAACTGTATGTTGCCAGCATTATCTAAGAAGCCAAAACAGAAAATTGACAGTGCGGCAATTAATTTTCATGAAACACCTCCAAGATGGATATGTTATTTTAAAAATAACTTCTACAAATGTGTTATTTTCAGGGATGCACATAAAAAGGCACAAGTACGCCTTCACCTTTAAAAACGCTATGTTCGAAAATCGATTGAGGTAACTGCATAAATGCCTACTTTTTCAGGTGTATTTGTGCTGACAAAATATAATGCATTTTTATCTTTATATGCCAACTACTTCATTTACGGTATAAAGGTTACAATGCAAGGTATTTTCTTGTCATAGCAGCGCAACTGCACACAAAGCATGCATTTTAGCTTTTACAAACAATCGATTGTCACACGCATACTTTTTAAAGGTGAATGCGTACCAGTTATGTGAATCCCTGGTTATTTCCCTCAAACTGAAGGGAGGGATGCTATTTCACATTACACACAGAAACACATGCATCAAGGCACATTACATAGTTTAAAGCACTTGCCACTTGGGACAGTCTTGCTCTATCTCAATGAGGCCTTGTGCAAATGCCACAAGGTGCGTAACGAAAGCATCAGGTTTCCCTGTATTGTTAGCATAAATCCACCATCATTATTTCTATATCACTTTTTTGAATGCAAGTTTCAAATCTCTAATTTAGCAAGACGCCCCAGGTTGAGGATACAGAAACAAAGCTTATGCCTGCCAAACATTACAGCTCTGACTACACCTGCGAAAGAGACTGCCATTAAAGCATTTTAAAACAAAATACCATATTTCAAGACTCTTTTTACTAATGTTTTAATTCATTGTGCAATTAGATATGATACAAGGCCTATTCTGAGCAGCTAAGTGCATGTGGGCGACGCCCACTTCTTTGGGTTCAAATCGAGACGCAGCTCAGGACTGCGGGCTAGTAGATGAAGCGCTGACTCTGCCGGAAGCCCAGCTTGTCCAGGTTGGGGTTGCAGGCAAACTGGATCATGGGTGGTGGGCCGCAGATCAGAACCATGTTGTCATCGTCAGCTTCAGGCAGGTGCTCCCGGATCATGTCGGCGCTGACAAAACCCTGGCTGTACTCCCAGTCTGTAGGTGTGCGCACACACACACACACGACAAATCAGGCAACTCGTGTGCAACAAGAAAAGCACATAGCTTACACTACCATAACATATTACCAGTGCTTCTTCATTCTTGTATCGTTCTCTTGAAATGAGTTGAACTAATTCCTAAATTCTTCCTGCTATGTTAAGGAACGTCTACTGTTTCTCCACTACCTCAACTCATCACCTCAACACCATATTATTATGTTATGTTATGTCTTGTTTATCGCACTTTTGTTGTTGCTCTTGTTTGCACATTCGCACGTGCACTTTATTCTATGTTGTAAAATTATGTTGCCAATCTGTCTTGTCTCTGCTAGCCAGCTAACTAGGCCTCTTAGTTAGCTAGTTTTAGTTTTTCTGTTAGTTTATGTTGTAAATCTATGTTGCATGTAGCACCTTGGTCCTGGAGGAACGTTGTTTCGTTTCACTGTGTACTACCTGTATATGGTTGAAGTGACAATAAAGCCTACTTGACTTGACTTGACTTGACTTGAACTACAGCACTTGACCCGCTACAGACGCTCCCCCCACTGCACCCCAATTATCTGGCACCTACCATCGCGGGCTTTGTCCACGGTGAACCACAGCTTGAAGCGGTCTGGGTACCTGGCCTGGATTTCCTCCAGCTCGTCTTTGAGGAGGATGTCTCTCTCCGTCTGCCACATACAGAGTGCACGTGCTAACCATCTCAAAAACACATTTCACAAAGCGTACAGCATGACCCATCACTGGCAGCGGTGCTCATTTTTACACCGTCATCAACATCCTGTTATTTCATCATTAACATCTTTAGATATGCGAGTCCGTATCAATTGCTCAGATAAACCTGTGGTCACAATTTAAACAACAAGAGAACTAATCAGATACAAAGGCATATATTTTTTTTAGGAAAATCAAAAACCATGATGTCAATCACACACAGTTCAGCATCCATTGGAAAAAATTTTCTAGTCCCATCACCGTTTCTGAGAAGATGCTCAATCAACTCAATACGGTGTACTCAATTACACATCTGGATATTTTGCTGTAGCAATTCTTAAAGGCCATACAAGCAGCAAGAGGATAAAGGAAGCGCCTTTAATGGAAATCGACCTGCCTGGTCAGAGTAACCCACCTGGTTGGCAAACAGCAGGCTGCAGGTAGTCTGGTCAGTGGGGTCCTTCATAATCGCCCGTACCAGCTGCAGCACAGGGGTGATACCTTCAGGCAGAAACAGACGATGAGCGCCATTATATGCTAGATCTCATTAAGCTGCGATATACACACAGAAGTAGTTCAGGTACAGGGAGCCATCTGGTGGTAAGAATTTGCCATTTCAATCACTTCCCTCCTGGTCCAGCCTCAGTGTCTGGTTGCTGCCATGTAATTCAGATATGAGCGCCACAGCTGGTAAAACACAACTCTGACTAGCCGACTCAAGTTTGTAATTTTCTCAGTTTAAGAATAAATTGACGGTGCCTCAACATTAGCAAAAACTGACCAAGTTCAGCACAAAATCTTGAGTGCAACAAACGATTTGTCCGTGACTCACTGATGCTTGTTGTTCCTTTACTTTCATGCTTATTCAGAGAAAAAAAAAAAAAAGAACGGTAGTCAATTAACTGCTGAATGCCAAACATTCTGTGTCATCGTAAGGTGAAAGGAAACAGATTTGCAGCTGTGTGGAATCCACTGGCACTTAAACGTCGAATTCAGCTTCTCTGGTGGACTTCTGCAAATTCTAGACTGTCACTGTTTTCTATTTTAAGCCGGCTGTGACCGCAGTGTGGCTCACAATTTTTATCATGAGCAGCATAATGCAAGGGCAGTACAAAGGTTATTCGATTTCATGTCAGATTAGAACGCACTGGGTTTACTTTTTCAAAGCAGTGGGTCAAAAATGGGGTCCACAGTGTCAGAGAATGGAGATAATTGCTTCCGACATTTAAAATTTGATTTCAGTGAAATCTCACAACCATTCTAAGTTGAAGACAAACCACAATGTTACAAAAAAAAATCTGATTAAACGCATCCTAACTAGATATTCCTTGTAATGTTAAAAGGCAACAATGCATGTTTTCTTATTTAAAATGTCTGATATTTGTGGTATGTGAGGTAAGATACTGCCCTAAGGCTCCCAGTTGTCCATATCTATCTCAAACAGCTGCAGGACCAGGAGTAAGACTAAACTGCCCCTGGGATGAGTGAAGACCCAGGCTAGACATTTACGGCATTTAGTGGACGCTCTTATTACATTACATTTACAGAATTACATTTTCCTAAATTCAGGGACAGTCCCCCTGGAGCAAGTTGGGATTAAGGGTCTTGCTCAGGGGTCGTGCCAGAGATGGGACTCGAACAGGAGATCTCTTGGTCCAGAGGCAAGCATCCTAACCACTAGACCACCCACACCCACTACACTCCGCTGAGCACAGCAGTGATGCATTTCTGCATGGCAGTTAAGGGTACTGCACCTGTTCCCCCTGCAATCAGACCCAGAGATTTGACCACCTTCGTCTCTGCAGGAGACTTCTTGTCTGGCTGGATTGCAAACTCCCCTGTTGAGAAGAAATTCAAATAAAATAATAAATCATTCTATTTTTTCATGAATTGACACAAGCACACACAAAAAATACTAACAAAAACACTTGATTCATACAAAACCATCTTTAGCCATCAGGTAAACCTAATCAGTACTAGTTTAATATCACTGGGCTACAAATGTGCACGACCAGTTACAATAACACAAACTTGATATGATACTGATTCTGTAATGTTGGCTTACACAAGTTCTACAGAAATTAAGGCTGAGTGCATGTCAACATTTATACCACCTACTGCATGTGTCTTGGATAACAAATAGACAACTACAAACAAGAAACTGAAAGGATTGTAGCAGCAGTTAACAGAAGCACTCAACTGTGCAGCAAACTACAAACTGACACCTTTTTCCGCAGCACCCTGCATTTTCACACTTATGTGAGCAGGCTATTGAGGGAAACCCACATTTTAGTCAGAACTCTGCATTTATATCAAAGGTCTATAAGCTGATGAAAATGATACTGTGGCAGAGAAGTACTAGGTTCCTGTTCATCTGATACTGTAGCACAAAATGCTTGCGAGTACCAACAGATAATAGGAGACCCATACAAAATCAGACAGCAGAAATGTCGTCATGTTTCAAAATAGAATAAAAATACGGTAAGAGAAAAATGGAGACGATTAAATGGAATTAAACCTTGGCCCTTGTACTCCAGTAGTCCACCAGGTCCCCGGAAGTCCACCATCTCTCCCAGCTGCAGACTTTCCAAGTACTGGGACATCTTGCCACCCTCTGGGAACTTAGGGTTGATGTTCTTAAAATAGATCTGCGGAGGAATGCAGTCCAGTATCCTCAGAAGTCAATGATGACATCACAACCCTCTGGTGACACTAGAATCTCACACGAAAGTACAAAGAAACATTAATCAAGAGTCTATCATCAATGAAAGAGGCAGAGATCGCAATGATGAGCCATTACCTTCACTACAAGGTCCACAAATCCCTTGTCGTCATCGCTGGATACTGGCGTGTATGGACGCACCACAAGATTCCCATCTATGCGGGCTGAAAGGTACACGTGCTTCCCTAAGGGAAAGAGGAATATTTTCTTGACCCAAGGTAATTCCCAGTGTCATTTCACAAAATATTAAGCACAGGTACACTTAACATTTATTTCCATTCATTCTTTTAGCAGATACTATTGTCTAATGGGACATACAAGTGAGGCAGATTATATATAACAAGCATCCAGTTTTCAAGGAGTTCTGGAAGGGTGAGGAAGGTTCCAGAGTGACCAGTAACAAGTGTACAACGTCTACTTGATGTGCAATATAGCACCATAGTCAACTTATGGTCAAACAATGTTAAAAGATGTTCTTCACTGGCAACTAAAAAGCCAACGACATGGAATTTGGAGGAAAAATTGAGGAAAAGGGAACGCACCAACAGGAAGGCCCAGAACATGCTCCAGGGAGGGAAGGGCGAAGCGGAACCGTCGGGTGTCATGACTGATTGTCTGTGGGAGTATCCCAGGAACAAGGAGGGTTGTGGAAGAACAGCGTCATTACACAGCACTACTAGGAAAGCAGACCGATAAAATGAAAAGGCACTAATGTTACAGGTTTTACACTACTTTCCCAGCTGGTTGTTCAGATTATCATCTAGCAATCAGATTAATTTCTTCATAAAGTATAAACAATTCAAGAATAGCCAAATGTAGGTTTACACATTGTCTTCACTTCTGCTTTAAATCGGGGTCAGAGGGGGATGATGCAGCCAAACAGGTGTGACAACCTTGGATTTAACAGAACAATTTCATATTTGTAGGAATATGTCCTGCATAAACCTTACCACCCAGGCGTGTTATATAGTACCTCTTTGTCGATGAGCTTCAAGGCGTATTTAATGGCGGGATCAAGCAGTGTGATCAGCTTGGTTTTCTTCCTTTTCATAACATAAGCACCCAGGGCAAGACCCACAGTGGAGACCAGGACAGCTCCCACCGCAATGAACACCGAGGTTGTCTGCACAAAAAAAGCGGGGGGGGGGGACCAAAACAGGGCATAATAATAATTGATACTTTATTAATCCCCCTGGGGAAATTGTCTTTATACCTCCCACAACTTGGTCTTTGAAGAGTAAACTGTCCATGAAGAGCAGCCGCCCGTAGTAGCACCCAGAGAGCTGGGGGTTAGGGGCCTTGCTCAAGGACCTGCTAAGGCTGGGTTTGAACCGCCAACCTTCTGATGACAGGCACAGGCTTAGCCCACTGAGCCATACGCTGCCCCGTGACGCCAAACGTAGATAATTAAAGCTGCAATCCAACACAGGCGTGACTCGGCGTGGATGAAAGCATGTTAGAAAGTTTAAGTCAGAGGCCATTTTCCCAGAGCTAATCTCAGGTAAAAGCCTGTTCACTTGAAAAGAAAAAAACATTTACATAAAGTTGATAAATTGTGGCTGCCCCAAGTCCAAATAATTCAGATGTTAAACTGCCTATATTTGGTAAGGGCGCAGCCCGTTTGCCGGATGACTCACCATCCTGCAGCTCCTCTGGCCCAGCCCCAGCCTTTTTCCCCTTTCCCTGCCGCAGAAACAGCTTAGTGCCCAGCCCCTACATTTCCTAGCAGCTCCTAGCTCCGCACCCAGAAGTCAGTTTCCCTATTCATAAGCATCAACCTCTCGTCTAACCATCCCAGCAAATTACAGAGCGCCACAAAAAGCCCACCAAAAGTTAACCTAGTAATGCATATATTCTTATACTCAACAGACTTGTCTGTACATGATCATGGCTATTCTGGTTTACAGAAAACTTTACAGGAATGTGTTATGCACACGATCCTAACCCTTTTTCTGCCATGCATAAAAACCTGTCTTGTTCTGCTTGCCGACAAATACTCTGAGACCAGAGTGTGAGACAGCAGAACTGCAACTGCATGTTTTTATATGCAGCTACGATTCCTGAGTTAATTACAGCTCCAAAATCCTGCAACTGGAGGCTACGCCTTGTGCAGGAGCGCACCATCAGTACTTCAAACAATGTTTTTACGGCACAGAATCCTTACATTTATATGGCTGAAATGACTAATTCAATTACACTTGACCGTCGTATCCAACAAGCTAACAGCGATTAGATAGCGGCTGCATTTTAAGAAGACGCTAAAAAGCTTAACTGCAGAGTTAAACGGGTAGTTAGCATATATGAAATTTAACCTAAAACTCTCTAATTTACAGACAACTAACAACTCCTTATCTTCAGTACAATATCGTTTAATCAGCATTCATAGCGGATATTTAGCTTTCAGAGTCGCATACAGAAATGGCACTTTAACCAACAAACCATGACCTTTTTTCAAATTTAGAAACCGGTTCAGCCGCACTTTCATCGTCGAAGTCCCATCCCTCCCTTTTCAATTTGGAAAGCATTAAATAACACTCACCGTGGGGTATATCATGGTGCACTACAGTATGCCTTTATTTTTATTTTTTTAAGGAGAAGGAAGAAAACCAGCTGAGATGACGGAGCTACTGATCATGTCAGAGCAACCAACGTATTTATGCAGAACCACAACTCGCCGAGGGAGCAGCGCAGCAGACAGCGCCCCTTGGCGGCCTTTCTATGTGCGAGAGACGCCGTTTTAGCAAAGGGCCGAGGCCATCAGCGGTAAGGTGGAGGTTTATTATTCCGTTCCGCCATCTACCAAATTTTTTAGCAACCTATGGACAATAATGAAACACTCAAATTAATCGGGGCAAAATCTGGTTACAGTTGTAATCAATCAGTTTTATCCAAGGATATAATAAAAACATTAAATCTCGATCAGAGAATCCTTAAACGGAATTCCCTCCTGGTAATCCAATTTTAACTTTGAATCATGCCATATGTACGTCCATGTAGGCTACCGATCTTTCAGCTGCTTACGATGGACAAAATCGTGTTGAGGCCCAAGCAGCTTGGGACAATTCGCGATTCCAGTCATCACAGTATATATGCACTTGCATACTTATACAGCCAGTCATACACTACATACAATTTAGACTCCATTTAGCATAATTTATTTAGATTTGGCCAGGAAACCCAGTTAATACATTCTTATATAACGTACACTAAAATAGTACTTTCTGCAATTAAGATTATGTGGTTCAAAGTGAGTTTCATTTTATTTTCCAAAATTGCATGGTGTGTAGATTTGAAAACAATAAGTAGATTTAAAATTCATATTACAATCAAGTGTTTATTAAAAAGCAGTTTAAAGCATACAACACATTTAATGCCAACTTGCTGCTGTATTAGTTCATTTTAATCAGATGTTTCCTTTAATCAACTCATATCAACACATTCCTGTGGTCACTTTTACTGCAGCTGCCTGGAGTCGCAAGCTTCGCACTTTGGCCTTCACTGGACCACTCAGGTGAGGATCTTCCTGACATAGTTGCGGACATTTATATGGAGTTGGTGCGAGGTGTGGGAGAAGATTTCGGTGGCCAGGGCCTTGGTCCCTTCTGAGGTGTTCCACATGGCCCGGTACACTGGCAGGGTGTACTTTTGTTTGCCCTGGGCAACACAACATCAGAGGGTCAGCAGTAAGCCCCGGAAGATATGCATGCTCTCATTCCATATCTCACCATTGGTCTTTTTTAAACAGTTACTAATTATCAGTTGTCTACGATAGAGGATTGCCTTTTCTGGTAGGCTTATATACTTGTAATATCTTCTCACAACAGATTGTTTGCACAGATCACCACCACCCAGGGAAGTAACTTGTGGTTTGTGGTCATCAGGTGTAATACCATTCTGCCCTACATAGGCTTTCCTTTATGTCTCACCTGACTGTTGAGGAAGTCGCGGACATGCTGGTATCCGGGCTCGTGCTGGTTCTGGAGGACGATCTGCGCCCAGCGCAGCCGCAGCTCTGCGTTGTTGGACTGCACTATGTGGGGGTACTGTTCCTCCAGTTTCTCCGTGGCACCTAGTCCGGATTCACAGTGGTTTTCTCACATTAACTATTATTGGTTTATAGCCTCAACCAAGCTGGTTGCTTTTTTGAGACTTGTAAGACACCAGAATGCCAGCATGCACAAGATCTAACGAAGCTGCAGCACGTTTCTGTCACTGGTTACACTGCCTGGTTTTATTCCTACCCTTTCAAAGATGTCTGTTCCTTAGCAGAGTTGGAGCATCTTGTCAGAAAAAAAATAATACTATGTTCTTTGTATTCAAACTAGGCAATCTGTGTCATACTCAAGCACATTTGACCCCCAAAGTCTAGTTTGTTTAACTAGTGTCATTGCCCAAGCCTGCTTGAAGAGGTGGGCTGGGGCACGGTTGAGCTGGACTCAGACAGGGTATCCAGGGTATGCATAGGCCAAATTCTGGGGGTGCATTTTTTCGAAGGACACGATCTATGAAGGCAAAGCCTTTACCCTTAAGTCACAAAGCGCCACCTAGTTGGGACACACCCACGTGACCTCCGCACAAAATGAATCTCGGGACATGCTGGACTGTGAAGGATCCATCGTGTGCATCCTTCACAGAGCGGGAAAAGGACACATTTATAGACTGCATTTGAAGGAGCCTTCGAAATGGGACAGCCCTGTTGCACTGTCAGATGCATTTGGTCTTCGAATGCAGTTTTAGAAGGATGCAGCCCCTGAATTCAGACACAGCCCTAGTGTGATCGCTAACTGTACCCAAGCACGGAACGCAGACATGACGTCAATGATGCGACTGGAACACGCATGTGCACATGTACACTGTACGTGAACTGGACCTAGAATGGACCGGGTAGGTTGTACAGATCGGGTAGCAACAAGTATTTAACAAACATCATGGCAAAGGGATCACTTTGGTCTATAACAGAGGTGCAGTGTTTGCTGGAAATTTGGGCTGGGGAGGGTCTCCAGAAAAAACTGGATGCAACAAACAAAAACTCTGAGATGTTCGGTAAAATACAAGCATATTGTTATACGTGTCTGAGCTGCAGTAGCACTGAGAAAAGCAAGTTGCTCCCTCAAGTTGAATGGATTTCAGTGTGTAACTTTTTTGATCTTCCTTAATAAAAGAAAAAAAACTGGTTATAAGACCAATATGAATGATCGGGATGATTATTTATTCTTAGGCTGCAATGTTTTCGATTTGATTTCTGTCTATTGATATTTTTTTATTGCACAATTGTTGACATTTTGTGACATTTTAGTGATTGTTTAACAGCAGTGCCTTTTGGGTGAGACACTGAGCGTCAATATCTCTTGACTTTCCCTTAAATCTTTATCCCTGACAGTGTTTAGTGGAAAGATGAATATGTTCGTCAGTTACTGGTTTGTACATGTAGTAATTATGCAATCTGTGTCTGGCTAGAGGGCAGACCTACCTCTAGGTAGTGGGGACCTCTTCAGGATGTTGTCCAGGAAGTAGATTGTCTGATACGTCTTCCACTGCCGAACGTCAACAGTGTTGATAGCCGCCATGTCCAGGCACTGCGCTGCCCACATATCTGCAAGCTGCTGAGCGGGTTTCATCAGGCTCTGACCCGGTGACAAGTCAGGTAAGTAAGGCGGCCAACCAGAAACATTCAGCCAGCTGTCAAATTCCAGACCTAGGAGAATCATATGCATGGAGAAGCTCATTCAACACTGCACTGTGAGTAACCCTCATGAGAGGTTCCCACTGTTTTCTACCAGATTGACAGGAGTACCTTTGATCTTATGTACTTCCTTCTCCTTCAGGTCAGGAAAATAGTCCAAGTAGAATTCTAGGGCATCCTCTGCTACCACACTACAGAACTTGAACTTATCAACGTAGGCCTGAAATGCAGCATTCAATATAAGTACAGTGACATGGTCTCCCCAGCATAATGAAATTATACTCAGAAGGCACTCTCAGTGTGGAAGACCACATACTTTGAGAAAAGCATCGAAGCGGCTTTGGTCCCCGGTTAGATGGGCAAGGTATGACACAAAACAGAAGCCTTTCTCATATGGGGTCTCATTGTAGGTGTCATCAGGGTCCACACCTGCATGGAATGAATGACGCAGAAGGAGGTCAACACATAACCATGCGGTAGTTTTCTCGCTCTACCTCGACAACATGCCAAACCTGGCTCTATCTTGAGGCGCAGCTTGTTGAGCGGGTGGTCCTCCCCGGTGTTGTCCATATGCTGCCGGAGGAGGGCTCTGCCCGTCGCTGCCTCCAAGCTGGTGTAGGCCTCACCTAGGGATACAACAAATACCAGCACCAATATCACCATTTTAATGTGTTACACGGCATTAAGATTACCTTCACTCTAATGTAGTCCTGTTGGTGATTTAGGTTTTTAAACATTGATGCCACTTTTTAGAGCTCATGGAAGTTTTACTTACACAAAAAAATGCAGATTAAAAAATTATTGGTTCAGAGAGATAACCAATCAGATTGTTGTGGGTCTAAGCAACTAGAGCAGGCAGGACCAACCAATCAAATGTCTTGGTTCTGCCTCCTCTAGTTATGTGGACTCACCTCCTCTACAATCTGATTGGTTATATCTCTGAACCAATCATTTTTTGTTCTGCCCTCAGAACATTTTTGTGTAAGTAAAACTCCCACAGGCCACTTCACATACACTATAAGTAGTGCGAGGTTAGAGCCACAATAAAATCTTAATAAAATGCATATTATGATGCAAAAACAAATTTCAGGTAGTTGACAGAACTACGATTAACCAGATCTTTCATGCAAAGGGCACCTTTCATGCGAAAGGCAAACCTACCATACAGCTCCTTGCAGATGCGACGCTGGGCATACATGGTGAAACCCTCATTGAGCCAGAAGTCACCCCAGCTAGCATTGGTGACCAGGTTGCCGAACCAGCTGTGACAGATCTCGTGCACGATGACGTCAGCCAGCGAGCGGTCTCCTGCCAGCAAGCAGGGCGTGACGAAGGTCAGGCAGGGGTTCTCCATACCCCCAAATGGAAAGGAGGGTGGCATGAATAGGACGTCGTACCTGTGCCGGCGGGATCTCGTCAGTTCATGTACAGTGAAACCAAAAAACAAATATGAGTGGGGTTGGTCCTTTACAAGAACCCTCACCTTCCCCAGACATATGGCCCAAACAGCCTCTCCCCCACAACCAGGAACTCTTGGGTTGGTCCTTTACAAGAACCCTCACCTTCCCCAGACATATGGCCCAAACAGCCTCTCCCCCACAACCAGGAACTCTTGGGTTGGTCCTTTACAAGAACCCTCACCTTCCCCAGACGTATGGCCCGAACAGCCTCTCCCCCACAACCAGGAACTCTTCAATCACACCATCATACTCCTTCTGGGCTGCCTGCAACAAACAGGGCTCTGTCCACACACGTGTCCTGAGGGAAAGACAGACCAACCACTGCATTCAAATATGCTCACCATCTATTAAATT